TTCGCCGGGACCGGCCGCGTCCCCGGAGCCGGCGCGCGCGCCGCTGGCAGAAGCCGGTGCGCTCGTGCCTCTCAGCAGCAGAGGATCCGCAGCATCTTCAGCTCCCCCTTTCCCTCCTCCCCTCTCTGCTTACAGTAGCCCAGAAGATTTCTAAACCTTTCCCTGCCCGGGACTGTAGTGACGGGGGCTCCTGACATGAAGCTGCTCCTGAGCATCCTGCCGTCCCTCTTCTATGCTGCTACAAGTAAGTGGCTGTCTGTGCAGGTCACTGAATGCGAAAGGGGGAGAAAATCGTGCCATTTGGTTGTGCTGCTGGGAGCTGGGGGTTATGAGGGTTTTTTTTTTTAATTAGGATTTTGATCAAAGTCTTGATCTGTAGGATCTGTAATCCTAGCACATGTCACTAGTGATGCTAGCTGTCTGAAAATAGCCTTGCTGCATCCCGAAAAAATTTTATTGCTTGAGGAGAGTTTGTCTGTGTGCCTGTTGACGCTGCTCTCTCTGCACTGTGCTTTTCATGGACTTTGTTACCTGTAAGCAGAGGCGATTGCAAACTGCATTTTTGTATTTTATTTTTATTTAATATGTTACCTGTAAACCGAGAGGGAATTGCAAATTGTGATTCTGTCTTTTATTCGAGATAACAGAAACCAAGCTTGAGAGCGGAGTGAGAGTAGATGCAGAAGTCGTGTTAATGTTATGATCTGAAAGGGGAGAGAGAGCAGTGGACAAAAACCAGATAAAAAAAGAGACACTATTTTGCTAGAGGTTAGAAAAGGGTGTTGGGAAAAGTCGGCAGCTCTGCGGTATTTCCGTTTCTGTCTGATTTGTTGTGTTTTACTTTTGTCAATGACAATTCAAACTCTTGCTGTCCCTGCCCGCCCTTGGGGAGTGAGGGGCAATTTTGGAGCTCTGCCACAGAATGGGGGATTCAAACTCTTTCAAACTGAACAGTTCTTTATATTTCCTTTGAAGTGTTCTGCTTTAGCTGCAGCTCAACCCCTCTCCATGGCGGCCGGGGGTGGGGGGGAATTTAATAGGTGATTTATACGTAGGGTATTGTCTGAAAGGGGTTTGCAGCCCTGGGTAGGGACCCGTGCCTGGACAACGAGGATGCATCACGGCTCAGGAAACGTGGAGTGGGAAAAGTGTCATCTCTGGGCCGTGTCCTGTGGTTTTGGGACTTTGCTAGCAGAAATACGTTTTCTTTGCGGACAGAGATCATGCGGAATTAAGGGATGTTTCATTAAGCATGTTAGAGAATTCATTTTCTGGAGGTGAGCTTATTGAACTGACTTCAATGTGCCTGGTGTATGAGAAAAGCAGACCTGCTTTTTGGTCTCTCAGGAGATGCCTTTCTGAATGGAAAAAAGACAAATATCAAGAAGACCAGGTCTTGCTGATGTCATTTTGAGTCTTCCTCATGTTTATTCTGAAGCCTAGGAAAAACTGGATAGAAGATCCCCAAAATACTGTTGCAGATCTGGGACGGCGATACTTTGGGGTCTGCTGGGTGCTCTTTGTGAGGACGACCCTTGGGGGACAGCCGCCCCCAGCTGCGCCAAGCGGGGCTCTCCCCGCCGCCTTGTGGCAAAAGTGTTTTCTGTCGGTTGTTTTTATTATTGTTTTTGCTCACAGATGTTTTATTGGAGATGTGCAGGCTTCATTTATAATCTTGAGTGGCCCTTGTGAAAAGTCAGCAGATGCTGAACTATAATAACTCTAATCCAGGCTAAATTTGGCCACTCCATTTTGTTTGTTTGTTTGTTTTGGCAGCGCGCGCCCGCGGCGCGGGGTGAGGTGCCGTTCTCCCCTTCCCCGTAGGAGCCCCCTTCCAGCCGGCGCTGCTGGTGTGCCAGTGCCACTGCACCCAGCGCGGCTGGCGAGCACCCACAAAACCCTCCCGGGAGGGAGATAAAATGTGCGGTTCTGCAAATTAACTGAATCTCCAGGCAGCCAGTCTCTGTCTCCAGAGGTTTGGAGGAGGTCACCTTTAAGAAAAAGCTACATAATCCAAATATCACCTCTAATTCTGGGCATTTTACCTTACCTGACACTCATACTTTTCCTCTAGGTTTTTTATTTCCCCTGCCTGCTCCTTTAGCATTTCTCCTGCCACCCCTCCAGCGTATTTTAAGAGGCTTCCCGTTTGGCAGATTTGCACTGGAACGCTCTTATTTGCACTTTGTCCGTGTTCCGGTCCCCGCGCTCGCCGTTCGGTGCGCCGGGGTCCTGCAGAGCTGTGCG